GATGGAGACCCCAGAACACTCAGAATTATAGATTCTTCTGAAAAACGAGTTCAGTTGGTTTGTGATCACACACATACACACACACACTATCATGAATCACTCCATTTGCATTCCCTTACTTTTGCCACTCCTTTATCTAATCAACTTCATTCCAACACTTTCTAACTTGCAAGCCCTGGGTAACTGGTGTTCATTGATTTTAGACTTCAGGTTATCCTGTTGATTAACGTGCTCACCCCAGAGATTAACAGTGACCTATTACAAAGTCAATTTGAACCAGGCTTGAAGAAAATAGCACAAGGGTGAGCTCGGCCGAGGGAACACGTAACCTTTTGTCCCAGGGTCTGCAGTGTCATATAGCAACTCAAAAACCAAGGGCTACTGCCACCTCAACAGAAGCTGGAAAGGAGCACAACGCTCCTTGCTGGAAGGGTTTTACAAAGGATTTATGATTTGTTACAGAATAGCTGCCCTTCCTGACATTGCTTTAAATTTTCCAGTGTCCCTACTTGAAGGTGTTATTTTTATTTTTTAATGGCTGCGTAAGTGCACTCCATCGATAGCCTTTAGCCCAGCTGAAGAAAACTTCCTCCCCAAAAACTGGTGTGTGTGCGATAATCACAGGATGGTTCAACCAGGACGCTGCTCCTTCCTGGCAGCTTCGGGGCTGCTGTCACCTCCTGTCCGGACTCCGGGACATCTCTAAGGACAACAGCCACCGCCTCCTCACCCCACAGATTTAGGGGTCTGTCCACAGGCCGTGGCCAAACCTGTCTGCATGGAAGTAGCGTTTAGGTCAGACTTCAGGACAAACTTCCTCGAGAACTGGAGGTGACAAATTTCTCATTTTGCCATGCTGCCTCTCACCAGGGCCCACAGCATCCCCCCCCAGAGGAAACCCAGGCAGGCAAGAAACCAACGCCCACCTCACGGACCTGCAACACGGGATTGCTTCCTCCTCCTCCTCCTCGCTTGGTGAACAACCACCTAGTGCTACCCCAGCCAACGGGGTAGCGACGCTGAGCCTGCTGCCCTCGCCAGTGGGTCAACTCCTCAATGTCCCTCAGTGCTTTGGAAATACAACCACTAACAGCTCCCACGACACTAACTGCGTCGCTCAGTATGCTCCTGAAACAATCAGATTTGCTCAGATGATGGCGGGATAAAGATCTGTGCAACAATAGAAGGATTAAAGCAAATTACTATTTCTGTGTGCAGGGCCTTGGCTCGCAGCTAAAGGCCAGCAGCCTGGGCAAGAACATCTTGCACTGCTCTAAGTCTCCTCAAATAAAATATTTCATGCCACTTTACACCCGAAATGCTTTGCACAACAGTGAGCTAGACTGGCAAGATAGAGATATAAAGCAGAAATTTTATACTCAGCAAAAATCAGTCACAGCCTGGGGCATCAGAACTTGTTCTGGAGATGGGGAGCAGGAGGACAGACAAGCCAAGTTATCCCTCTAATTGATCATAAAGTGTCCTGGCTTGTTTAAGTGTTCGATGCCTGAGGAGGGAGGAGGAGGAGGGGGAGGAAGAATTTTACTAGCACTGCAATCTCCGATTATAAACTTCTTTGAGTGCTCGTCCTAAGCTTGGGAAAAAAAAAAACAAAACAAAACAACCCAAAGCATAAAGCAGCAACTGCACGCTCCTTCCAAAAAAGCCCAACCCACATGTGACAATCCTACCCGAAGCCCAAAACACAGCAGCCTCTTCTTTTAAAAGGTTCAGGGAGAAACATTTGCCACCCAGTCCATTAGGGTTTACAATCTTTGTTTGTTTTTAAACTCTAATCCTCCTCATCTGTAGCAAGCAGTGATGCCAGGAATTCCTCTGGTTTCTCTGTTAGTAGCCTTAACTACTCTGCTGTTGTTTAGAGATCAGATTAAACCTTCCTGTTTCAATATAATGGAAAGGGAATTTGTTTTCATGCTCCTGGCCGTTTGCTTTGAGTTTTCTTTCATCCCTTTCAACTCCACACACTATGTCCCAGTTTGTTCCTTCCTCCAGCCTCTACTTGAGGGAGCTCGTATGCCGATGGACGCTCTGGCATCTACCTGTGCTTACAGACATCCTCAGCTCTGTTTTGGCAAAGCTCGCTGCCGGTTGCACAACCTCTGCAGAGCAGTTTTCCAATCTCCCCGGCTCATTATGAAGAGTAGGGCCGCGTGGGCTCCGGCTGGAAGCGGCGCTGCCTCTGGTGCAGGAATGTTAACGGGCAGCTGCCTGCAGCCTGGCGCAAACCAGCCCCTGGAAAGGCCGGACTTGCCAAAAGCTGGGATCTAGCCATTGGGGAAAGCCCAGAGTCTATAAATAGACCCACAGGTGAGCGCTACGCCACTATCGTGCATCCTGCTGCTCAGGAAGCACCAAGCAATCGCAAACATTTTACACATTAAACAAACTCGGGAGTTGTTTAATCCCGAGGTGCCAAACCTCCGCAGCACGGCACAAAGGTATTTGGAGAAAAGGTGAGACGGCTCGACGCGCCGCACTGCCACGAGGAAGTTTGGAGCCTGTCAAAAAGGTTACGTGGGACAAAACGGCGTTGCCTGGAGCCAAGTCACAGCGCGAGTGTGACAGAGGCTTCTGGGGATTGCAGCGTAGGGAAGCACAAACTGCTGAAAGAGGGATGTCTTCGCCAAGGGGAAAAAAAAAAAATTGAATTATGCTTTCACTTTGTTAAGAAGCTTTTTCAAAACTTATTTCCATGGTTTGGTTTTCTCTGCAAACCCCCATACACCTGTAAAGGCTGTAGAAAGGGTACTTGTGTTGACACGGGTTTCAACAGGGGGAACTGAAGCTGGAGTTCTTGGGAGAGCCACCTTCAACAACACAGGGCTTTCGGGTTTACTGGTCAGTACTCTCAGTAATTCCACTCTCTAAGAGGAGATACTGTGTGTAGGTGCTGACCTACAGTTTTTGGGGGGGGGAGATTTTAAAGCTTTCTGCTCAGCGCTAGCTTCCTGTTCAAGACAAAAATTAGACACATTTCTTGCCACCAGCTTTTAAAGCCCTGCACAAACAAGGCCAAAACCAAACCCTCCTTGTACCCCTCTCTCCCAGCTCTCAGCACTTGCCTTACAGGACAAGGCTGAGCACATCTCCAATAGTAGATTCTCTATGAACCGTTTCTAGAAAGAATAGTGGACTTGAAAAAAGGAAAGAGGCCTATCAAGGACTAGTTTTAATTTACCAAGCCTGATTTGGAGAACCAAGAGGCACCCACAGCTCCTTTAAGTGGTGTTTATGTCTGAGAGGTGCACAAGAAGGAAGCAGGGAACTTGTATCCACAAAGCAGAACATCACAAACACCGTAAATCCCATCTCTAGGCTCACACAGATGGTTACACGGGGTGAGATGGATCCGAGATCGGCGAACAGGGCCACTGCTCCTACCCACCAAACCTCGGGCAGCTCCAAGAGCGAAAGCTCTTCCACAAAGCCATGCCCACCCGTGTCAGGGGAAGGAGCGATCAGCAGCCTCAGCCTTGCGTGCAGCGATCCCGGTGACTGTTAATGACTAACAGCCTGAGCTGCCAATCAGCTGACATCACTTTCATCATCCTCGTCATCTTCATCACATGGTTCTGGACAGCAAGATCGCTTCCATCGCTAACCCCACACGAGCACAAACCAACAGCAAATGTGGTAATTAAGGTGCACAAATTATGGTTGTAAGTGAAGATTATAATTAAAGGTAGCGTATAATTAAATGTATTCCTGTAACCACTCTGACACTGCTACTGCACCCAAGCGCTCACAAGGCACCTTGAAACTCTTCTGAAACTGTGACTTCCTCTTGGAAAAAAGGCTCTTTTTAGAAGTTTACTCTAGCCTTCATTACTAAAGGCTTCCCTTTCAGTAATACAAATAAAAATCCTGGGTCAGACTCAAGACTAAACCCTGCTCCTACCTGATACCTCATTCCAGGCCTTCTTAGCCCTCCTCTTCATTAAAATATACTTTTCCTCATGCTCACAATGTTTTACACCTTCCTCTAGCACTCAAGAAACACCACAGACATTAGGCAGAAGGAGAAGCCCCACTACGTTTTGGGAAACATCTTCCCTGCACCCCTCTTTGCCCCACCACCCACGTAGACAAGCTCGTGTGTCCACAGGTTCCTCGACACGCTGCCAAGACATGACACTGCTTTCCTGGAGATGTCCTTCAGCGGGAAATTTGATACTTTTCTCCGATTCTGAACCAAAAGACACTGTGACATTAGAACTTCCTATAAGACAAGTTCTATATTCAGCTGTGGTATTTCTACAGCGCTTTACAAATACACCTAATACACAGTATGCTGGTAAGCCACAGTACTTAAATAACTTGACAGAAAACCAAAATAGGATTCACTTTTGAAATTCCTAGACTTTTCATCTGTCTGGTTCAATTGTCTTTTACACAAGTCTGAAGGATTTTCAGAAAAAACGGGCAGAAGGAAGAAACCCGATTCCACACTGCAATTCCCCCGTAACGCCTAGCAGAGACTCACTTTAAGGCAAACAATCCCTTTACCTTTCCTAGAATCTTTTAGGAGATTTACTTAATACATCTCCAGGTACTTTTGCTAGCCACAGACTCCCAAACCAGCCCCGATCCTTGTTCACAGGACATTTGGAAGGCCTCAAAGGGAGTCGCCACCATCTGCAGGACTCTCTCCACACTGAGGACCCAACCAGCTGCCCAAGATGTACTCTAGCCTCAAGGGACCAGGGACAGGCTGAACATCTCCACACCCGCAGGAGAGATGCTCGCCCCTTTTCAGATCAGGCTATGCATGCTCGGTTCTTACTGATGTTTTAGCTCCACTTAGTGGCCAGCCAAGCTCCTCTACAGCGCTGCCTTCCTCTTGAAACCACCACTTTATTCAAGACTTGTGGACAACAGGGATCATCATCTCCACTCTCACCAGCGTGAGCCTGGTTTGGGACCCACAGCTAAAACAACATCAGCTAAAAGGTCGAGTCTGGATTCCAGCAAACGCTTACCTCGGTAGCAGCGGGGACCGAGGCTTTGGTTTTTCTTTCTCCTTTTCGCGTTCCCTGTCCCTGTCCCGGTCTCGGTCCCTGTCCCGGTCCCTGTGCTGCCTGTCTTTTTCATCTCTCTTCACGCGTTCCCACTCTTCTTTCCGCCGCTGGCGCTCCTTGTCGCGCTCCCGTTCCCTTTCTCGTTCTCGCTCCCGCTGGCGCCGCTCTCGCTCCCGCTCTCGCTCCCTCTCGCGCTCCCTTTCTCGTTGTCTGTTCTCTCTTTCCCTTTCCCGTTCTCGCTCTCTTTCCTTTAAAAAGAAAAGAGAAATCATCGTGACGCCGGGGTAACATCTCCTAAGAAAGCAGGCAGCAAGGTTTCAAAGTCTCGGACCGCGAGCAATTACATGCTCTCTCCCATGTTAGAGCCAAGTATTGAGATAAATAACCTGGAACTTGCTGGTCATCGCTGTTTGCTGAGAAGGCAGAAAGTGGTAAGGAACAAAACACCGCACCATATTCATCACAGCTGTAATTTTCAAAGGCAACAGTCAAAAGATTAATTTGGCTTATTTTGTTTATTAAACGAACGTATTGATGTTCAGAAGTATTTACTCTCGTTGCTAATCATGTTTCTAACGAGCTAATTAACTTTATAAACAAGGACTATGAAAATAATTGATGGTGCATCGTACGCAACAACAGCGAGGGCGGGCTCCTGTTTGTGCTCTGCTTCTACAGAACAGCATGGTCTTACAGCAAAAGGAAAGCCACTTTTTAAAGGATGTGATGAATATCTCACTCAAAAGCTCCCCACCGAGCAGGATTTATTATTTTTGTCACTACCCTTGAGGAACAACAGTTTGTATGAGGGCAAAAGGAAGCGGAGGGAAAGGGTTCAGTGTTGGGCCCCTCACCCCAAAAAGGCCATTGAATGACTCGAGCGTGGCCAGAGAAGCGCAACGGAGCTGGGGCAGGGTCTGGAGCACAGGTCTGCTGGGGAGCGGCTGGGGGAACTGGGGGGGTTCAGTCTGGAGAAGAGGAGGCTGAGGGGAGACCTCCTGGCCCTCGGCAACTCCCTGCCAGGAGGGGGCAGAGAGGGGGGATGAGTCTCTGGAGCCAAGGCCCCAGCGCCAGGCCCCGAGGGAATGGCCTCAAGCTGCCCAGGGCAGGGTCAGGCTGGCTCTGAGGAAGGATTTCTGTGCAGAAGGGGCTGTTGGGCGTTGGAATGGGCTGCCCAGGGCAGGGGGGAGTCCCCAGGATCCCTGGAGGGGTTGAAGAGTCGGGCTGACCCAGCGCTGAGGGATCTGGTGGGCTTGGGAACGGTCAACGTTAGGTTCATGGTTGGACTAGGTGAGCTTCAAGGTTTTTTCCAACCCAGATGATTCTGGGATTCTGTGGTTCACAGCCTTATTTTCACTAAGCTCTGCACCGTACCGCAGTGCAACGCCAAGCAGCTGCCTCTGGGACTTCAGCAGCTTGTTGGGCGCTTTCCTCGTCTGACTCAATCAAGTAACGTACAACTCCACCAGTGGTGGACAGTCACACCAGGGCCTCCATCTGTACACAAAGCACGCCTGTCCAAATCTAATCCTTTCCGTCTGACCCAATAACTAACAAGTAAACCAATCCTCAGTCGGTTTATTTCCTGGAAACTCCTTCCCCTCTCCAACACTTCCATGAAGGGCTGCTGGTGAGGCCGTGAGCGCCGCGCAACCACCTGGTATGCAGAGGAGCAGGAACCACCTTCCCATCCGGGACACGTTTTTGCCTTCGTCACGCCACAACAGAACAGCCTCCTGCACCTAGAGTGTGTTCTGCAGCTAACTAAGTCAAGTTTTAACTGTTTGTATGATTAAGCATCTCGAACTTATGTGAAAACTCCCATTTCAAACGCCGCACTGGAAACGTGACAAGCAGCACAAGTACCTGGAAGAAAGTGGAAAGGAAAAGCACGGAAAGGGGTATTACCTTACTTACTCTGTAGTTACGGTATGGATCTGGGTCTGTATACTGAACCCTGAAATTCTCATACTGCCCACCACGCCAGAACCGTTCTATTTCATAGTCATAATAGGGATCTGTATAGGGATCAAGCCTACAATGAAAAACAGGGAAGGTTAGAAAGGGAAATAACACCTTGTTGCCATACAGAAACACTACGTATTCTAGGTCACTTAGTCACTGTGCACTGACAAAAAAAAAAAAGAAAATGTTCCATGGAGTATGACCGTACAAAGTGGTTTATTTTCTACATACCCCAAACAGACAGAAACAGCCTTAAGTGAAGCTTATCAGAGAAAAGCACAAACCTTTCTCGATAAACGCAAGAAAAGAAACGCTACGAACCAAATTCAGCCTTCAAATCAATGTGGTAAAAATGCAGAAGCACCAATTGCTTTTTAGAGCCCCCTCCACTGTATGCAAATGTCACGGAGCATGTTTTGCCTCATTGATTTAGAGCTGGGTTTTCTGTCCATGCACACACAGCTCATCTCAAGCACCTTCCCATCCCAAGTGGAAGGGGTGGGGAGCTCCCACTGCCCGGCCACCGGAGGTGACAGGTGCATCCCAGTGCCACCAGTACAGGACACAGAGCTGTTGCAGAGCTTTCCACTGGGAGCAGCTGTGCTTCAGGGGCAGCCTGACAACGCTCTGCTCCCACGCCTGGAGTTACTCCACGTGGCGAAGGGAACCACATCCATGGCTGATATTCTCCAGTGGAAAACAGGTGCCAGCCCTCCAGCACACAAAAGAACCGGCAAGCACGTGGCACACCCCGCTCAACTGCAAAACCACAATTACTTTTGGGGGAGGAAAAGGATTTAAACCCCACCCGCCTTAAATCGGCAATGTTTCCTCCGTTTGGTGATATTCTGTTAACATTATTTGATGTTTTTAATTCATATACTCAGCAATATCCAATCCCTGCCAGCCACCTGGAGTGAAAAATATCAGATCCCTTGTAAAGATGGGGAGGTGGGTACAGGAAACAAGAAACTTCCAGGGCCACAGAGGAGTCGGTGGCAGAACTAAGATTAGAAAGCAAGTGCTCCCAACTTCCACATTGTCTGTAATGAGACTCTGACTTGTAAGAGGAATACAGGGCCGACTTTTGCATTTTACAAAGTGCCAAATAAACTACAACAGGTTAAGATGTTGCTGCCCTGCAAGTCAAGCGGCTACCTGTCTTCCTTTCAGTGCTTTTAAAAGGTTAAAGATCTCTATTTTTGTCTGAAACAATAAGCCAAGGGAAAGAGTACCCCGATGCCAACCAAACAACAGTCTGGATTCAGCAGCATCAGGTATTCAAAAAGAGACACACACACACACACACACAAAAAAATCTCAAGCTACACCAAAAAAGGAAACACTTTACTTTTGAACCCCACCTCAAGTCCAAATCTCCCCATTCCCTTCCTGGAACATTTGTGGACTTTTATTCATTTAAACAAGCATCCCTGCTAGGCCTTTAGATAATTCAGTGCTTAAATCCTCAGGCAACTAATTGATATCATCCCCCCAAAAAATCAAATACATCCATTCAGTTAGTAAACGGCCCACCACACCTGATGGGACAGCGGTCTGTGGCCTAGGAAGTTTTTCAAAGTGCAATAGAGAAAGGAAAGGGAATATTTTCTTACAGTTGCAACAGTACTGGAATCAAAGACCTGCTTACCCATAGTTAATGTTTTCTTTGATGTCCACCTCCCTATAGTTTTTCAAAAAAGAAAAAGGGATTCATGAACTATTTAGACAGCTTCACACGTCACAAGACAGTCCTGAAAGCATTTATTAACATCCCAGCTGCACCACCAACGGTTAGTTTGCTGCAAGGGGTCAATCTGTGCGTGTGTGTGAGAAAAAACCCACCATTTTCTAGCATTTACAGCAGCAGCAGCTTCATAATTTTGCCTTTACACACAATGAAGACATTTTAATGCCACAGTCTGCTTATACATAAAGGCTCCTGAATTTTCAGGAACTCAATTTGTTTGGTAACTTCTGTTTAACACTGGCTATATGCAATACACGTTTTTCTTTACTATATGAAAAAACCAAAGTCTGTGTCTAGCACAATTCTTACATCAGTGAGGCAGTGGCATAAAACAACCAGAATGCTGATGCTCATACACGGTCATAAAATAAAGGTACTGTATGGTCAACCCACAGAGCACTGTGATGTGTCCCAGGTGCAACTGGAAGCCTTCTCAGAGGAACAGAAGATCAAGATACAGACTGATTTCTACCCAGGAAAAAAAAAATTAATATGGGGCAACTCTTTTGTTTCAGGCTGCAGAACTGAGTACATAGCTTCTTTTTTAAAAATGGGGAAAGGAATTGCACTCCAGAGCAAATCAAAGACCTGAACAAAAACTTAACCTACTCCTTACTCCATCTCAGATTTTTTTTTTTTTGCAATTCATTCACTAAAATAGAAGCAAGCCTTGCAAACACTTTGTCTATGAGTGGAAATAGTTCCATAATATGTGTAGGAAAAACAGCAGATGTAGGAGCAAGAGATTAATCTGTATTCCTGTAGAATACAAGCCCCTCTCAATTTTTTTCCATTCTATTTCTTGGCTTAAGAACTAACAAGGAATCTTCCCAGAGCTGACTGATTCATCCTTGCAACTTCTGCCTGCTCTTAGTCGGGACAGGAGTGTGTCTGAGGTCTCCAACATTTTATGTTTTACCTCCTTGAAAATCCAATCAGCTAAACACTTAAGTTTAGGGCGCTTGGTTTGGCCCAGGCTACACCCTGGCAGCTAAGAGGTTTGCTTTCTGACCAGTATCTTACTCAACAGTTTATCTGGGACTGGTCAAGGGGTTTGTTAATACCAGGTGCTGTGCCAATGCTTTTGCAAATAAACACCCAGCTGGTCGAGACAGTACAACTGCTGCCCTGAAGCTCCTGGACATCGAGCACACTCCAACTTGCAGCCCCAGCTTTAACACTTCAAAACTCTCATGGGTTGGAATAAGAAAAATAAGAGGGAAAAAAAGTTGGAAGGATGCACTGGTGTGAGGTCGGCAACGCACAACTAGTTAATGTCCTTGAGGGACTAGCAGAAAGGTTTAAAGGTGATTGTAAAGGAAGGTAGTGATGAACCAGAGTGAGTAGAAGCAGCTCAAATTTTTAATTGGTGCACATACTGCTTAATAAGAGTTGTTTCCATCTCCTGAAGTGAGCACTCCTCCAGTTTGGAGGAAAAAGCTAACTGAAGACTGCCATACTGCACCACATTTCCCACCCATCTATTCCACGTAGCAAAACCAAGACTGGATCTTACGCTGGATCTCTGACGTCTCTGGTGATGCGGTAATTCCAGTCGCGGAAAAACTCGTTTTCTTTGTCAAATTCACGCTCGTCTTCTCCAATAGTCACAGTGAACCTCTTCTCCTCAAAGTCAGGCTCCTGTTCTTTTCTCATAGTTGCCTTTTTTAATACCTGCCATAACATACAAACATTGTGAAGAGAGCACATTTCTGAGGCACAGAGAAATTGCAGTATTAAAAATTCTTCACTTGGGAGAAACCTGCCCTTCAGCTAAATCACCCTTTTCTGCCCCAAGTCTCCTCAGTGTGTAGGACACTGGACTTCTCTCAATGTAGAAAGTGTAATTCACTAGTCCATCAGCTCAGAACAACAGCAGACAGGCAATGAAAGTTTCACACATGCTGACCCCATTTTCTGCAATGATCAGACACATGGATCCTACACGTGCTAGATAAACAGGTACCAAAATAAGGGAAATTGGATCAGCTTAAAAAGTTTTACTTTGGGGAGGGCTTGACTTCAGGGCCACAAACTGCCCCGAGCTCATGTTAATAGAAAAAAAACAAACCTGGATGTCAGCTCCTCTTGACTGTATAACAACTGTGATAATCAACAAGACACAGTTAATAGGTTAAAAGGCAAAAGGAAGGCTCCTTAGAAAGAACAAGACACTTCATGCTCCAAAAAAGAGCTCTTCTAGCACACTGCTCCCGATGAAACAGGCTGGTGGATTGTGGAGACAGTCAGCACAGGTCCTGAGGATGGCATTTACCTCTTTAGCGTGCCGGAGGCCTCTCTCCCAGGCACTTTCTGTTGGAGGGTCTGGAGGGGGTGGAGGTAAGATTTCATCAACGACGGGCCCTCCCTGTTAGAAAGGTGAGAAGAGGAAGAAGACAGACACTTGATATTAGTTTTAAGCAGCAAAACTCACAGTTGTAACCCGTCACCCCAGAGTACCCCCAGATATTCCAGCAGTACATAATGGGGACACATGGGAAATTATTCCCCTCTACTAGCAACTTTAAGACCATCTTTTAAAAATCACATATCCAACTGATGTATTGAATTTTGCTGAAGTACCAGCTCAAAGAAAAATCTTCACTTCTCCTAGAGCAGGAGACAAAAAGCTATGTGCAGAAGCCATACATTCACAGAAATGATGTCCTTACCCAAGGGTTGGCTGGCATCAGCGGGTGAGGGCCAATGGGAGGAGCACCGTTTGGGGAGAAGGGCTCAGGCTTGGAGATCAAGGAGTAGTTTCCTTTATCATTCACACCAGGGTGAATAAATCGACAGTTCATGCCCCAAGTACAGTGACCTGTGGAAATACAGTTGTGTTAGACCCCTGTATGCCTACAGCAAGCATTTGTTCAGCCCCACAACCACTGAAACCCGTCAAGGAACAATGCTGTTTGAGATATGTGACTTTTCTTCTCTCCAACTTTGTCGAGTTTGACCTGTTTTCATACACAGAAAGACACTCCCCACCCCCCACCTCCCCAGAGAGGACAAACAGATCCAGTCACAGGTGGATAAATGTACAAGAACCTTATTACAGTGGGCAGAAGGGATGGATGGATGCATACAAACCATTAAGCAAATGCAGTAATAAGCCTGTGAGCTCTTCAAGTCTGATTAATGACAAACAGATCAGGTTAGAAGCTCTACCTTTTACGGAAAACTATGAATGTAAACTGACGGCAAAGAAAGCATCAAAGCGCGTTCAAAACAAACAGCTCTCTGGTGAGGCACGAAGCACATCAAAGGTTTTCTCTCCAACCAACTCCGCAGGCTTGCCAGCACAAAGCAGGAAAGGAGACATCACTATGAAGGGCAGCAGACGAATCTGAAGCTGCTCATTAGCTTCAGGTACCATCCCCAAAGAGATGGCAACACTCAGCGGTGTCTAACAGGATACAAAGCTAATTCCCAACTTAATTTAGCTTGCCTTAGAAACTAACCCCCTTTTTTTTCCTTCCGACAATCCACTCAACATCAGGCAACAGACATTCTGCAGATTTCCCAGCAGACACCTCCATCACAAAGTCATCGCTTGCGCCAGCTCAGGCGTTAGCACGTTGACTTCAGGGGCAGCGGAGCAGTTCACAGTGCTGTGGCCCAGGGAGCAACCCCTGATCCCAGCTGGCAGGGCAACACGTCCACAACTCACACTGCACCTGGGCCCCTGGAAATGCTCCTTGTCTGTCCCAGATTAACCACAAGCTGGTGCATTCTTGATCAGAGGCAACACTGGATGCTTTTGTACTGTTAAACATAACAAGAGCACAAACCCCTTTGCACAGCGGCTCAGGGAGCAACACATCCCTTTTGATGCCTGAGCACCGGGTGTGGGCGCTGCCAGACACCCACACAAACACCTACTATTCCTACAGAGGTGTCAAGCGGAGCGACTACCCTGACAAGCAGCCCTGCTATATATCTCAAGGTGGCTACGCATCAAGCTACTTAACTGCAAGGCTTTGCAAGCTAGTCATTCGTGCCACTGGTCGGACGCAGCCGCCTGAGCGCTCCCCAGACACAGCAAGGACAAAAATCCTAACGTCTTCAACACCCCACGTGAGCAGCACCTGGTCTCCCTGCTGGCAATAAAGCCTTTCAGGGTAGCTGGAGCAAGTGTCAACGTTATCTGAACCCAGGCCAAACCAAAGCAAACCAGCTGCGGCAGGAGATCCTGCAGTCTGAACTTTGACTCGGGCAAATATTTCCAGGCTGTGGGGAGGCGTAGAGCACGCTGAGGATACAGGAACAAACACCTCTCCTGGCAGGGGGACTTCCCTGTTCCACCATCATCATCACCAACACGCTCGAGTCTCAGCACAGGCAGAAAATTCGATCCCGGAAGACATTCAGGAAGCCAAATGCATAATTTCTGATAGTCACGTCTCCGGAAAGCACCTAAGCAGCTCCCTACGCTGCGTACGCCACTGACGCAAGGAATGAGACTCCACCCTGTTCTCCACCCTTTTAATTTCAGATTTTCATTAATTGTTTCAAGGGTGATTCTAAATAAAAGCAAGCAAATGAGCAAACATCAAGTGAGATGAAGCTCAAGGGAGTGGAAGAGGGTTATAATCAGTTTAAATAAGAAAAATATTATAAAACTACTGTCTAAAAAAAAAAAGCAGGACAGTCTAAGATAGCTGTGTGCAGTTGCACAAACTTTGGGGAATGTCTTATTAAGAAGAATTAACAAAAAACCAATTGGTTAGACTTAAAAGTTTCAAATCTTACGTCACATTCGCAGTAAGAACTACACTTCATGATTTCCTACTCCCATTCCTTCCAACTGAGGCTGACAATCCCAAATCATATTTCAGAAAGCTGATAACACTGTGGAGAAATCCTCCAGCTTGAAGAAAAAGCTTCTATTGACGTGAGGATTATTCCAGCTGATCACTTCCTCGGCCCAGTGGAAGTACTGCCCACTAGCACATCTCACCCCGTCAGGTCCCAACGTCACCCCTCACGCACGCTGTCTTGCTGGGGGTTTCTGGGTTGCTTGTGAAAACAGCTATCCCTTGAGGTGCCAACACCCGACACCACTGCGCAGGCAACGCAGGAGCCGGGTCCACAGGGGCGTTTGCAGGGGCTGCCGTGGCTCAGCAGATATCACACCATGTCACGTTAATATTTCTTAGAGGAAGAGTATTTCTAGCCCTATTTTCAAGTTTAAAATCTCAGCGAATGCTTTTTAATAACTGGGGAAGCGAGATGGATACGGGATTGCAAGAAACAACTACATTTTGGCAAGGCATCAGCTTGATAAGAAATAACGAGTCTTTGCCATTTTTGTTTTCCTCTAAGCAATAGTCGATTGTTAAATCGGCCCAAGCAGTTTTATTCCACGCTGGTTTAAAAACAGTAGCAAGTTTTCCTTCATTTGCCTCTACTGGGCTCACCACACTTTGGGCAAAGCAATTTTTGCATATTGGCTCTATGTAAATTCAGCATCTGGCCACCAAGAAACAGAAAGGTGATACTGAGGACGCCCGAGGCACAGTTTGTCATGTAAACAGCAGCTTAACGGGTATAAAACCAAACAAGAAAAATTAGAGCACCTTTGGCTTTCTTCCACCATTACAGCACGTCATTTACCTTTCATGAAGAATCGGCAGGTGGGACGTGGCCTCACTTTTCTGTCGCTGGGGTCTTTAACTTCTCCTTCTTCCAAGTCATCATCCTGGAACAGACAGACAAGCTGACATTTCACGTGGTGCATTTTCCGCAGCGACTTGACATTTCACAATATGGTCAAATATCAGTCACTGAAAACGCACCCTGGAGCAAAGCACAAGAGAAAAGTAATATAAAGTTACAATAAATACCCCGGAGCATCTTTGCAACGTGCTGCTACAAACAGGAAGATGCATCGACGTCGAGTGTTTCAAAGGTGACTGCAAAACCCTTCAGGTGTTTTGGACATCTTGGCGCCACACCACAGATCAAGGTTTCAAGCTGCATCGTTTTACCTGATATAGCCTTAAAGGCCCCAAATCAACAGCACAGCGGATGAAGCTCTTACAGCTCTGCTGAATGAAGCTGGCTGCGCACTTTTAGCGTGCAGGAAGAGGCAGCTTCGTGCTCTTTGGAGGCAAATGAGCTCAACGGTGTTACCCTTCCTTCCCGCAGGCTCACAGCACCACGTACACCGACAGCTACCGCGGCTCCGCTGGCCTGGATAATACCACTAGCCTTCAGAGTCCTCACGCTGACCTGTGCCCTGCTCAGCACTCACGTCATCCCTGCTTAGCTCAAGTCAATTCCTTCTGTTCATCGATCTAAAACACATAGCGGTATCCCCGCGTTAACGCAATAACCCAGCACAGACACCGCACACCTCTACCTCAAGATCTGAAGGATGACTGCTATGACAACAACTAATTATAAAATACTTCCCCACAATCTTGCACACAAGCTTTTCTTTTTCCCCCGAAAAATCATACGTATTTCTTCCAGTCCTCTTTGGCAACAACTTGACACCTTCCCTTCTACTCCTCAGCTCCACACAGGAGTTGTGAATCAGCTCTGAGAAAACTCTACATCATCCCCAAGCACAGCAGCCCCAGGAAGAAATTCTGGGAGATGGAGGTTGCTTCAAAGATTAAGAACCACAGGGGATGAGTGTGAAAATAACAGCCATGAAATACCTCCAGAAGAAAGCTGCTGAAACTTTAAAGTACCAGCCTTTGCCTTTGTTCTCCAGGGATAAAAAAAAACAACCCCAGCCTTCCCTGGCTTTATTAGGCTGCCTCTGAAAAGTCAAAAGGAGCTAAAAAGAGGCAAAGGCATAAACAACCAGAGTTGTCAGAGGTATCTGGCAATGAAATGGGCTATTTATCCTGCAAGGCACCCCTGGCCCTCCCTGGGTCTGCCTCCATTTCACCACCACAGAAAATTTCAGCTTAGGAAACCCATCTGAGGGGGGAGCACCTGGTGGGGGCCTTCCCTTCGCGTGGCCATCGCAGCAACAGCGGCTGTCTACATGGAAAAGATTAGGAAAGTTATGTACTTTGATCAATTCAGCAGCTGGGAAGGAGGAAAAACCATCCTTTGGCTGTAGTTAAACAAAGGCTGTACGGAGAGACGGGTTAACAGCCGTCTTCTGCTGCACTCCTCTGAGGGCAATACAGGGAGAGCTCTCCAAAGAACAGATTTTCAAGGCTACATATATATATTCAAACTAAATTTTGCATTAATATTCTCCCCCCCCCTCCATAACAGAACTCAGCAAGCAGAATAAAACGCTGAGATTTAAGTTTCCCCCAAAGCTGGGGATGGCATTCAGCGACATGTGAATGGTATAACCAGCTCAACTCTGCTTCTTTCAAAAGAACTGTGTGAAGTCTTTGCAAACGCTGTACTTGAACAAAAGGGAAAGTATTTATTTCTGTGAGGTCTCCTTGGAATCAGGCAGCTGGGAACCCTGTTATGAGTTAATGTATGAAAACCAGAGTACAGATTCATCTTGTGCTTTGTAAGGGGAGCGCTCCCAAGAATGCCTTAGACTCTAAAGGAAAGCATTCATATTTTAATCAAGACGCAGGCATGGAGTCAGGACTCCAGGAATTTTGCTTTTTTCCCCCTGCCTGGACTCTCCCATAACACACTGAAATTCCTTCCAACTGAATCAGAAATACGCAAAACTCTGGGGAAATACACGTTTAACAAAATCACCTGCCAGCATGGGCATGAAGAAACAAAATAACGTCACCTTGTTTGAAGCAACAGAACTTGTCAAAGCACCGTTAGAATAAAAAATACACAATATAATATACCACTCTTCAATAAAAAGGGAGGAGGGTCCCTCCCAGCAAGGCTCCGTGAGCTTCCCAAGCATGTGGCCATGTCAGCCACACAGCACCAGGGACTGGAAGGCAGCACCATGCCCCACGTCTGGACCCACCAGTGACCCCAGCCCCAGCCCACTGCCTCCTCGCCTGGTCACCAGGATGTTCTCACAGCAGCGCCCCAGCCCAGCCTCGCTGTGCAGGAGCACTTTTGGCACGGACAGGGAGGAGCAGAGCCCGTAAGGTGCCATTTCTCTACGTTTCACTCCTGCTATTTGGAATCAGATAAGGTGTGCACCAGGCCAGGAACCCGCGGGAGGGTTTCTACTCTGCTGCTAGAATCACTTTTCCCGTTTTATTCTGCCTGCAAGAGGGAAACTGGTATCAAGCTGTATTAAATACAATTTTTGTACCACAGTGCTTCCTAAGACAAATATGGATAAACAGTGCTTTTTGCCCTAATTACAAATGCAATTAAACCCAGGTTTTGCTTTTTTTTTTAAATAGCTGCACTTGCTCTCAGCTGTGGATCAGTAGCTACTGGGACTGCACATCCCTGAACACATCACCCAAACCACGTGCAGGGGCTGCCTGATTAGGGACTTTCCAGAAAGACTGGCACTCTCTGTTCCTCTTCCACACACCCAGAGGCTGGTAGAGCCCAACAAACAGCTCAGGGCCAGGGGCTGCCCCCACACACCTGATGCCTCGAGCATGGCAGCCGCTCTGCTGCATCAGCCTCTCAACCCAGACTGACAAGACAAACGCTTAATCCATGGCTAAGTAATTTGCTGTCAGCATCATTCAAAAGTCCTCTGAGAGCTGAGGCAGAATAGTTTCTTAAAAGCACTGGAGCCCTTCCATACTCACTGGGAGCAAAGTTTATTTGTGACAATAATATTCTGACAATATTCAGCACCAGGGACGTGGCAGCAGACATCCTTGCCACTGAGTTCAGGACCTGGTGCTTTACCTCCAAAGAAAAAGCGTTACTTGCACGCTGGGGATGCAGCTAACACAGATATTCATGTCAGAGAAGGATGGCACGGCAGTCTAAGAGCCACACAGTTCTGCAACCCCAGTCCCTGCAGGACTGCCCACCTCAGACCAGCTCCTACTTACATCAATTTCTCCATCATCAATTTCTCCATCGTCTTCTTCTTTCTTCTTCTCCTTGAGGGGATCCTGGCCATCCTTTTCATCGTCACTTTTACTGCTGGATTTTTTCTCATCTTCATGGGTATCATCTCCTTTCTCCTCCTCTTCATCATCCTCACCAGCAGCTTTCTCACCATCCTCCTCTGCAGCAGCAGCACTTGGTTCCTCAGGAACTTCCTCATCATAGTCCAACTCATGCTCATCTAGTTCACGGGTGACAGAGGACGCTTCATCACCAAGGTCATTTGTCCTGTCTTCCTCCTCTCCTTTGCGAGGCGGAGGGCTCTTCAGCTCCCCGCTCTGCTCGTTGGTGTCAGACTCCTGAGACTTGGTTTCGCTTAAGCGGTCCTCTTCGTCCGAGTGGTTCTCCTCTTCACCGTGACTCAGTCCTCTGGCCACATCCTCCTCCTCCTCTCCCAGGACGCTGCCTCGCCCACCCTCTCCATCAAGCTCCCGGTCTGAACCGCTCTCCTTCAGGACTTCGTCATCGGAAAGCTGCTGGTCCTCTTCATCAGGAGAGCAGGGGTTTCGCTCAGGGCTGTCGGAAACGTCCATCAGTACCCAGTAGTCTGCAGAGGGTAGAAAACAACACGTGTTATGGGGAAAGCAAGACAGGTTCACCTTGCAGACTTTGCACTCTTGTATTTTACCTCCTAAAGAAGAAAAGGTTGCTCGAATTCATGAACGTGGTTTACCATAGTACCTTCAAAAAGAAAATAAGGAGTTTAAACTGCATAAAGATTCCAATATTGTCCCAGACTAGATAAGAGTGTGCTACCCTTCACATACAATGACGGAGCTCGAGGTTGGAATTTCATCTACAAGCTCTAACAGGTGAGGCTACACAAGCACTCCCACCAAATCGCCATTAGAAACCCCAAGGTATTCTCCACCCCAGGCACCATCGGCAGTGGTATTTCTTCTTCTGTGAAGAAGCGAGCGAGCTTCAGAACACAGGGCCAGGTTTTCAGGAGTATTTTGTAACTCAAAGCACGTGGCACCGCAAACTGCACGGACTCCTGAAGAGGTACGGGAGCACAACTCACCCCAATTCTGGAAAAACAGCCAATATATTTACAGTACTTGTTACACTGCATTCAGAATAGAGATGAAAGCAAGGACAGTACACATCCATGAAAACTCTTGGATTTTTAATCAGGTTTAATTTAGACAGTGCATGCATTGCCATCTAATCTCCACCCGCTTTATACAGCAAAGATTCAAAATTTCTTCAAAGCAGCAGCAGATCAACTTCATAACTGTCAGCATCATGCACTTTTGCTAGAAGCTCATACGAACACGTGCTTGGTAGGACTACGTTAAAAAATAGATATCTGCTTAGAATAAGCATAATAAACGCAACAGAAAGGGACAAGATGTAAAGCAGGAAAACAACCCCAACCCATACATCCAGAAAATAAAAATCCCAGGAATTACAGAAGAATCGTCTGGCCCAAGGAACCGGTTGAGTTGTCTCTTCCTAGGAAGATTACTGGTTCATATCTAGATGAAAGCTCTTGGTGATTGAAAACTCTTACCCTTCAGCTGTGGTCTCTTGCTACAGCACATCCTTAGCCCTATAAACAACGACAGCAACACCTTCCTCACCCCCCTCAGCAATAACCAACAGTGCTTGGCTGCCTCAGAAGAGCCCAAGCTGAGAAAGGAGTCTTGGCAGGTTTTCCAGCGCCACGGTGGCCAATGCTCAAAGACAAAAGCACCCACCCCAGTTCTTTGGTCAAACAGTTCAACAGAGGCATTGGCTCCTCTCAATGTGGCACCTTTTGAGGGGGCTAAATTCACTGTTTCAGTATATGCCACCTCCTTCTCCAAACCCAAAGGCCTGTGCAGGAACAAGCTTGGGCAGCCATCAGACAGAAATGAAAAGCTAGAGGCAAACCCAAAGCTTGCAGAAGTATATTTAGGGCTAAAGAAAAGCCACAGGGTTACAAATCAACAGGACTTCATCTTAATATGGATCATGTTTTACTTCAGCTGCTCCTAGCTACAATCTCCCTGCAAGTACACGTACTGCCTGTGCCACAAGAACATGGCATAAATGACCAGATTTTTACCTGTTGCTGTTTTTAAGACCCTTGGAGCAGAAATGATACAAAGACAAGACTCCGGTAGCTTCTTTAAACACATCCAGCAATCCTTTGTGAAATAAGTTATTAACACGAGGCAGCTCTGCACTGCTTAACCTTTTCCTGACCCAGCCCGTCACTTTTCTCAGCTCCTCCGACTGGTTCTGCACAGTAAAGGTTGTCATTTACCACCAAAGAGCAAGAACAGACAGGCAGAAGACAAAGACACCAAGCCACGGCATCCCAGGCCGACTGCCACGCGCCATGAACACGACCAAAGCAAGTCCAAGCTTTCAGAGCAGCTGAAACCCAAAACGTTTTTGGTAACGACAGAAGCGGGGATCTCTGTGCCGAAATGCAGCAGGAGGGTAAGCACGGGGAATGTGCAGCAGCTCTTCCGTGTGTTAGGAACCCATGCCTGGAAATCAGGAAGGCGTGACAACTTCATTACCCACGCTACTCATCTGCTTCTTCATAAACTTGCCAGGACCAGGGCTGTTGTATTTGTGTCTTGTATGCTGCCAGCTGTACTGTCATCACTGAGATAACATCTCCTGCCTTCACCCCTAGTGAAGACATTATTAGCTGGTATTTGCAGCAAATCCTCAAGATGAAAGTCACACTGGAGAAAATGCTGCTTGTTATACTAGGGGAGGTCTGCAGAGAAGGAGCTAAAATAAAACACAATGAAACACACTCCCAGAAGGAGTAAGAGCCTATATGTTAGTACTTAACAACCATGCTCGACTTCCAAGTCTTCAAAGCCCTGCACAAATATCAGCTAATTGACAAATGTGAGGATGATCTAAACATTCATCGGGGCCCCGAGCAGCACAAGGCTCACATTTTTTTTTGAGCTTCCTACTCCGCTACTCGTTTCTCCACACATTGGAAGAAGTTGGCTCTTGATCACTACCAAAGTTTTCATTTTATTTTGGCTTTTTAACTTTTCAGTAAAAGACAGCAATTGCCTCCTGGTGATAGCGGCTCTGGGCAGTTAAACAGGTTGTAATCTGAAACAAATTATATTCTTACTGAGTACATAAAGGTTGATGCTGAGTTCATAAATGCTTGCACAAATTGTTACTGGCTTTAAGAGCAAGTTTATGGCAGTGATTTTAATTGCCTAAGTGCCTGAGAAGTTACACTTTGCGTCCATCTAAGGACAACTTGGCGTATTACATCTGAAAGGTCAGCCTTAAGAGGCCAGGAGGAATATAAAAGCTGTCAAGTGCAGATGCATTCAGGAAATTTGTTTTCTGATTTTGTGCAAGGAAGCAGCACCACAGAAGCAGCGTTTAAGTGAACAAGATGCCTTTCTGCATTTGACGTCGAGACCTTCAGAGGGGCAGGGGAAAGCAAGTATGAATGACTGCGTTCTCACCGCCAGCTAAGGTGATAAGTATAAAATATTCACCTCCACCAGCAGCTATTACAGCTATTCTAAAAATCCAGTGCATCCGCCAGTTACAATAATTTCCTACTAATTTCCATCAGCAGAAATGATAAGAAACACAATAAACGACAGCCCAGTTGAGAAGGGTTCACAAAATCCAGGCAGTCTGGTTTTGGTTTGTACTTCCCTGGATTCAAGTAACAGCAAGTTTCCCTTCAGCAACTGGCCTTACGTCCTCCCCGGTGCCTCCCCCTGCACAGGCACAGAGGCACTTATAGCTCCTGAATTATTTCAGCCAGAGCCACAGTTCTGTCAGCATCCGAGGGCTGTCCCTCTAAGTTCACCAGTAGGCAAGAAAAGACACCCCAAACCCAATAAACCACTTCAATCGTACATGTAACTGCATGGAAATGCCCCAAAGCAAACCCATGATTTGCAAAGGTAAAAATCAGAAGCAGGAAAAAAAAACACACAAGAAGGGAGATGGAAATGTGAAGAAGATTGTCAGACTAATGATGGAACAAGGACTAGACAGCATTTCTGCTGCATGATGGCAAGATATTGCCCTCGCAGCCATCCAAAAGTTTCTCTCTTCTCACTCACTGCCACAGCAACTCCTGCAACAGGGGAGATAAACACAAAAAAAGTGTCCTCCAGCCACTCCTTAGCCCCGTGCAGCCCCAAGGCTCTGAGCACAGGAGAATGAGGAAACAAGGTGCAGCACTCCAACAGCAGCACGATCCGAGATGGGCGATGCCTTGTCCCCAACCCAGGCAGTGTTACTGTAGTCACCCGTTTGTAGAAAAGAGAAATAACTGAACATTATGAAAGGCAAGAGTACCTCAGTAAGAATTTTGTGAAGTGCTGGAGTACTTGCTGGAGCCACTCAAGCTTCTTTTCAAGCTCCCAGGGATTTATTCTTCGCACAGTAGCAAGTTGAACTCCAGTTTAAGGTGCGTGCCCCCATCGCTGTGTCTGAATAATCTGCAAATCAGTTTATCCCAAATCTCTGGAATCCTGCAAGGTTTTTTTTCAGAGGGGTCCTATTTTGTTTATTTGGATTGGGTTTGTTGATTTTTAATTTTTTTTCCCCCCATTCTCCTTTGTTTACACATGAAGACAAATACCAGGAAAACCTCAGAAAAATAACTACACGGATTTCAAATTGAGCAACACTGACCTATGTGGTAGAGAAATCCACAGGTTTCATCCCTCATCATAAATTTGGAATTTTTGTGCTGTAAAACCAAGCCAGTTTCTTACTGTCTTCAAAACCAGTTATAAAAAAAAGTTACAAAAGCAAAAAATTAACTCCTACCCTACAGATAAGATTGTTTGACTTGTAGCTTAGGATGATGGGGCAAGAACCAGGTATAATAATACTTCTCACTTGGTGTTTTATCTTTAAAATTACAGGCAGGTCAGGCAAAGTTGCTTTTGGTCAAAGCTGCACAAGCCCTTTTATTACAAAACTGACTTCATATACTCAAAGTTTGCAAATTTTCATTTTCTGCATGTCTGAAGCGGACTAGTTCAGAACAGGTCACTAAGCATTTCAGACAAGGCTTACAAAACCCTCACTTTGCCAGGCTAAACAAGTCGGCACAGCCTTTCCATCAGAGGCTTTGGAGCAAATGCCACAGTAGGGAGCATTTCCAGCGAAAAGTGTGTCTTTTTCTGTCTCTAGAATCACTTGTGTGTGCCTCATCGTGCTGAGAGCCCCTTAAAAGCAGCTAACACATTCTCAGGAAAGAAATTGAGGATTTGGCAGCTCCACTTCTCACATCCCACCTGCAGCAAGCACATGGCATCCTCCCAGGTGGGAGCCAGATGGCACTCGCTGTCCCCGCAGACACAGCTCAGGTCAAGCAAGACTTTCCCTCCAGCTGCTCGTTTTGGATCCTCATGCCCTCAGCCAGTTCCTGTTGGCTTGCAATGTCCCTGCCAGTGCTGTGAGCCAGCAGGATTAGAGACAGTCTACCAAAAAGACAAGAAATCCCCTAAATAAAAGAGGCCTGGGGTTTTCTTGTCTGGTTTTGAGCAGCAGCACCTCTGCACCGTGCTCAGCACCCCACGCAGAACGCCACTAGGCTCAGCTCCAACTGAGAACACCCGGCAGTTTTTGCAAACCTAAGTTTGGCCCTTTGGTCAGCGGGTGTCTAGAAATGCGGGAAAGTGCTCTGAAAAGCCACGCCTAGCATCCAGGAGCAGGATGAGAAAGGCGAGAACAGCCTGGTGTCCCAGGGGATGTTTGACCACAAAGATCTGCAGCTTTCTCTGGCACAAACTCGCTTCTCTCCCTGCAGCCCCTCTCCCTGGAAGAGGCACACACAGCCCTGACCAGCCTCTGAGAGGGCTGGTTCACACACACGGAGTCAGGTTTGGCCAAAAAGCAAAGCTTTTAGTTACATAATAAATATGCAACAGGAGGGCAATGCTGGCGTTTCGCAGACTGAGCTCTGGAATTTTTCAAATTAGGGAATAAAGCATTAACTACACCTTAACTTTGTCAGTGTTTCATAGCTTGCCTGTGGTGGAACTTCACATGGCTGTCCTCTCCTGCAAAGGACTTGGATGCAACAACAAAGGGGCCCATCTTGTTCCCACTTAAGTTTCATAAACTTACTGGAAAACATTTAAAATTACACAACTTCCCCCCCCCCCTCACAAGAGGTAAAAAAGGCACTGTCCATTGAGGAAGCATTAGGGAAATTTAAATACATTATAATGTGGCTGAAGTAGAGGTATTTTCTCCAAAGCTTAACAATGTCCAAGACTTTTTTTTTAAAAGACAACACTGAGATTAAGAAGCCTTGACACAGCACTAAAGGCAGTGAGAGAAAAGTCCATCGCTACTTAAATTGGTTTTTAAAACTCAACTTCAATATTACCAGGTAATCCCAGGGTACCTTTTAAATAATATTTTTAACCTTACACTTTTCTTAAGTGATTTGCCCAAGGCAAGAGGGAGATGAGTCAGAGCACTGGAATTCTTAGCAGCAGGTCTGTTTGCAAGATCAAGCCCAACTTCTACTCTCTGTTAAACGAACAGCATCAAAAGGTCCAAAACCAGAAGGAAGAAATGCCAACCGGGTTTTAGTCTGCAGTCACACGCGTACCTTAGACACTACTCCAAGGCAGTGGGGTGTTTCACAGACACACGTTCTGGATCTGTGGCTCTCAGCAGTGCCTATTGCTGGCAGGAGGCTCAAATTGCTCTGCCCTGTGCTGTTTTCAGTTAGAACTCACAAAAAAGTTTGAGCAGCATCTTCAATTAAGCCGACAAAGTTAAGCTTTGTGTACAACTGACTCGCTGCCGCAGGGAGTGTCTTGGGAGCAGATGAACTGGAGCTAGTAGGAAAAGTATTGCAGCTTACTCTAACCCAGAGCAGCACCTATAGGATAAAGCTGTGAGTTAAGATGGGATTTGAAACAGCCGTCAAGTTAAAAATACTCCTGGCAAGCAATATTTCCATTCATTAAATTCCTCCCTGCGAGGCTGAGCCTTTATATGGCACCACAGAAAGCTTTTTCCAAGCGAACAAGGAATACACCTTGAATATCGTAGGGGAACCAACAGCTCAAACACTTCCAGCGCCTCCGGTGGCAGGAAGGCACCGAGTACCCTGTAGAAAGCTGGAGCCTGACAGAGCCATCAGCTTCGATCCTGAAATCCTACAAATTGTCAGTCAGATGGTGAGAACCAAGCACATACCCAGGGTCTGTACTCCCCAGGCAGAGACTTCACAGCTCCCGGGGTGGTCACGGGACAAAGGAAAGAAGCAAGGAACTTCTTTGCTTCAGGCAGAAATCTTTGCAGTAGAATGAGGAAAAAACCCCAAATCCACTTTCTAAACAGCTTGATGGAAAATCAAAACATTTTCATTAATCAGGTAGATAAAAATCAAATGCAGATCTGAAAAATTCTGGAGCGTGGTCTAAGAGCAGCCACGGGGATGGGTGAGGAACTATGAGTGAGTTGAGGAGAATGAATGGGAAATAGGGCTGACGGGACAGGTGAGAAGAGAAACACAGCATAAAAAGATTTAGGGAACAAAGAACTGGAAAACAGAAGCAAAACAGAAACGAAGGGCAGGAACCACAATGGGAAAAAAAAAATATGGAAGAGCAGTGACAACAGGAGAATGAAATAAAATGCCTGGTGAGCCAGGGAAGGAGAATCGTGTGTAGAAAAAAAAAAAAGCAAAGCACCCAGTCTTTTGCTTTGAATGAAACTCCGTTCGTTAACACGTTAATTAACCAAAATATATGCTTATCTGCCATCCTTAGAAAAGCACTGACTTTGAAGATGCATAGCAAACTTCAATTACCTAGCAGCTGTCAGGGAAGCTTTTAATTCAGAAAACTGAGCCACTTTTCAGCCTTAATTTAAGAGAACTGCTCGTCGACAGTCATTTTCAGCAAACTGATTTTTAAAGAAGCACTCAGAGAGCTCCGACTTGGAATGTTAACCACCACTTACTGTCAGGCAGACTTTGGGACCAAAACCTGAAGAGGAACGGCACTGGAAGCAGCTGGAGTTTGTTTTCACAGTGGAACTGATTTTCCTATTGCTGGAGCACACAGGGCTCTTCCTGCAGCTCTCTGCTGGCAAATGCTAATTTTGAATTATCAGTGCCACGGTCCCATGACAAAAAACAAGTACAATTGCTCCTGTATTCTGTAGAATACATGAATAATCACATTCGAGAGTCTAACTTTGCTCAGAACGAAGTCCTGCAAAGAGCTGTCTTGATTAGACTGTGACCCTTTTCCTTATTCTAGGCAAAGCTTAGGAAGGACAGGAGAAAGAATTTGCACCTTGGAGGTGCTGCCCTTGCTACAGCCAAAGCAGCCCCGGTAACTGTTTTTTTCAGAAAAGCTGAGCTACCAATGGCAGTAAAAGGAAATATTATTAATGTGGATGCCAAAAGGCCAGCTCTGGGAAGAGAGAACCCTGCTGAGACAACTCATGGAGGGAATTTAAACCACCTGCAGCAGCAACACGTTGCAGCACTTGCAAAGGCAACGGAAGCTCTGAGCAGGGAGCACCTCACAGCTCCTGCTGTGCTGGGCAGACAACACAAACCAGAGTTACACGAGTGACCCACCCACCCCTCACAGAACAGATCCCCAGGTGTAGCTGGTGCTTCTGTGGGTTCCCAGCCCTTCTCCCGGCCCACAGCTCCCCCTGCCCCTCCGTTACCTCACAGGGCCTCCTGCCAGGCTGAGGTCCTTCTGCTGTGCCCCCCGGGGCCGAGGCTGCTGGGGCTCTCCCTGTTCCCACCTGCCAGGGGAGGGAGGACAGTCAGAGCTGCCTGTAGCCCTGGGGTCCGACCAGCCCCTAGCACTACCC